CCCTTAGATCAGACAGAAATCTGAATGCACAGAGAGAGGGACACATACTTATGCTACCTTAGCAACCACTGAGCATGCACACACATGCCAGAGATGTGCCAGACAACAGGCAAAGCTCAGAGCGTGTGCTCTGAAAGGGCTGGGTTGCAGCCATGGGTGGTGAGGACTGGGGTAAAGACAGCTTGCTAAATCCATGGGTTAAAGTCAGCACAAGGTAACTCCCACATCCACACTAAAGACCAAAATCTGAGGGAGAGAGCCCCAGCAATGAAAGCAACCAGCATCATTACACCCCTGGGATTTCCTACTTGGTGCTTGTTCATGGGGCTGTGAAGGTTCAGTTACCATTGGGGGGTTTTGCTCCTGCTTGGTTCAGCATACTGAGTTACTGGCCATTTTCTCAGCACTGATCTGATCCGCAGCTTCTGTGCAATTCCTGAGTGGCAGCAAGAAAATGTTTTCCCATTTGGGCCTGCCTGTCCAGAAAACCAGTTTCCTCACTGTGCTGAAATCCTTCTGACCATCCAGCAAATCGTGCTGCCATGGGGCTGTCAGAGCAACCCAGAGGGAAAAGCCCTCTCCAGATTGGCAGCTCCTCTAAGCAGGCTGCAGCGCACAGCATTGCATCAAATCCTCAGAGCAGTCCTGTGAGTGTCCCAGATTCTGTACTGCAATTGCTCTACCTTGCCCAGAAAGGAGAGATTCAGTGCTTCCAAACCCTGCTGAAGCCCAGAACGTAGTCTGATAACAGAGAAATATAAACTAAGTAAACAACAGCGGGCCTGACTCCCTTGCAAAGCACCTTCTGCTATGCCAGTGCCTTTCCTCCCTGCTATCTTTGATTATCAGCTCTGCAAGCAAGATCAGAACCAGGTCTGTGAGGGGTTTCTTGCAGGCAGGGCTTGCTAGCAGTGAGGAAACTAGAAATCCTCCAGAAATCAGAGCTGTCAGCTCCTAGAAGGTTACAAAATAGGGCTCAGTTGTTCAAAGGGGCTGCAGAAGCATCCCTCACTGTCTGCTTCTTAAAAGCATGAAAGTGAAGTTAAAAGCCTGGCTCATTCTGGGAAGTCTCCTTGATTTCTTCACCCCCTGCTCTCCTTTTGCAAGGCTGCTTTCCGCTACTCTGCTCCTATCAGGGTTTGCCGTAATTCATAAGGACCTGAACAGAAAAGCATCTACAATACTGAGTGGTTTAAGGTACTACTCATTACCAGGCAGCAGGACACACAGACAGACAGGCCACGACATCCCTCCCACATCAGCAGGATCCTACCTTGCTTTGTGTGGGAGCTGGGAAAGACACAGCTTCACCTCCCACCAGAGGTTGGGAAGCATTGGACAGTAAGGGCTGGATCCAGCCCACCAGATTCAATGCACCTGAACTGCTTTAGAGAAATAACTGTAGCCTTTGTTGGGCTATATGTTGAATGCCAGGCTTGTCAGGGGTGTTTTTCATTCAGCCAAGCCCAGCAGGAATCAGCAAGCATAAGATCAATGCACCTGCTAATGCAAGTCCCAAGATCCCCTGGAATAGTGGGAATAAACAGACTGTTTCACCATTGGATTGCTCAGTGCTAGAGAGCATAAATGTCAGACTCTCCAGAAGAGCCATAAAAACCTGTCCCTGTATCATCACCAGTCTTAGGAAACAAAAAATGTGTCAAGGTTTATCGTCCTCTGCACACATGCATTAGGCTTCTAGATGACTTTCTATGAAGCTCCTATTTTGAGCAGTGATCAATTATGCATTTCAAGCCATATGGCACCTTCCTTCCAGAAGGAAGGCATTTTGTCTTGGAATCTGTAAGCAGGAAAATCTGCTGCATCCTGATGGAAATGCAACATTGTCAGCTAGTCACAGAATCATTAAGAGAAAAAAAGAGAACCAGAGTAAGATTAATCAGACATCCAATTTCCATTGAAATACCCTCGATGGGGAAATGGACTCTTGCATGTGCCCTTCCAAATGTCCTTTTTAATTCCTTTTTAATTAATCTGATTTAAAGCTTTGATTTTTGAGGGAAACCTGATACAATATGCAACATTCGGAATTTAGCAGAAGGATTTCTTCCACAAGTGATCTCCTCCAGACCAAAAAGTATATAAAGTCCTCTGGGGTCACTGGGTGCATGACTAGAAATGACTGCACTCTTGCATACTAGCAGAAGCATCATTCCCTTCCCAGGAATCACGGGTAAGAAATGTAGAAACATACTGCTCTCCAGTGGAACCAGAACACTAAAAGCACTTTTCAGATCCTACAGCAACAAGTGATGCTATAGATGCTTTCTGTACAGGGAGCAGGCTGCTCTTTCTCTCACAGCCTCATATGTCCCAGGTTTAGCTCCAGCAGCTTGGTGGAAGTGGCACTGCCTCCCACTGCTCTCCAAGCCTACTTGGAGCAGGACAACAGCAGGGTGGAATTCAGGAGGTGCTCTAACTGACCCTAATTCTTTCCCGCTGAGCTGGTTAAGCCTAACCTACAAAAGCAACAGTAAGTAAAAGCTGTTTTGATCGCTACCACAAAGGGCAGTTACTCACCAGAGGCCAAATCTGTGATCTGCAAAGGAAACAAAGTGGATGCCTACTCACCCAACATCATGCCCAGCTGCAAGGGCTTCCATGGCCTGGAAGCAAGCAGAACAAACTGGGAAGAATGCTCTGGAAGGGGACCAAGAGTGAAGGTCAGCTGGTCCTGCCTGTAACTGTGCACAACCTCAAACATTCACTTTATGGGTGCAGAGAGATGCAACCTTTCTGCTACACCAGGTATCCCACTTCCTGGTGGCAGATGCAGCAACAACCCTTCCTTAGCATGGAGGCACAAGCCCATTGTGCTTCTACGAAGGACTTTGGACCATGGCCCACTTCCAGCAAGCACAGGAAGCTCTCTTTGTATAAGCTTTTCTACAGAAGAACACTCAGAGCTTCGGAAATGTTTATTAAACCCTTTCTTCCTTGTTCTGCAGGTCATTGCAGTTGTTTGGAGAGACACCCATAGCTCAAGGTCTCCCAGGAAGACATAATGACGGTTAGCTCGCAGCAATGTTCTCTCTGTAAATAACTGCAGTGATCAAAGTTAAGCTCTTTGTGGTTGAATGGATTCTAATCTGAGCAAAGAAAGGGCTAGTGTGTGGGCAAGGCACACATGCCAAACATGCAAAGCTCTGCTGACCTGGAACCCTCTGGGGACTCCCTGGGACAGGATGCCAAGCAGCAGGATACCTAGAGTTGGTGTGAACAAGGTTTTTGCTGGAGAAAAGCTCCAGCAATATTGTAACCCCCTCACTTATAGATTTCTATTACTGTGTTAACAGCTTACATAGATCTTTACTACAACAGTCAACACTTCCTCCTGCTTTGGGCTATCCCTTCCACACCTGCACAATTGCATCCAGGCTGGCACTTCATACCTCACTCCCATCTGAACCTTATTTCTCAACTCTTTGCACATCTTCAACTCCCAGAGTCTGTCAGCAGGTGGTGCCTGGTGGCAGTAGTGGTGCAGGCAGCACACAGGCAAGCTTCTCACACAAAGACTGATGGAGGTCTGCGGGACTTACTTTGCTCCTGGTGTCACACACAGCAGAGAGGCTCATCAGCACCAAATAGCTCCGTGAAGAAGTCTATGTCACTGACAAACGGCCTCCCCTGCAGCGCAGATGCCTCGGCTCAGCGTTTTCAGAATACAGATTTTCTCAAATGGCTGGCAGGCTGCTGAAAGGGTTCCTCCTCGATACAGGAACAGGAAAAATAACTATGGACTTGCAGCTTTCCTTTGGCTTATACACTGCTGCCATTTTAAAGGAGCACAAATCTGGATACCACAAGCAAACCCAAAATAAATAGGGTTTAAATGGAAAGGCTTTTATTAGCCATATGTATGTTGGCAGGAATAAATTGAAGCACATTCTGGGACTTTTCTTCTCCCACATGACTTTGGTGGGGCACAGATTTGTCCCATATAGCAAGCTGGGAAAATTGTCTGACCCCAGGTTCTTCATTGATTAAAGACTTGTTTTTCCACCACTTCTGTTACATTAGATCTCAACTGAGGCCAGCTGATGGTCCTCACCAGCTCTGAGCTCACCTTACAGCTCCACTAAACATATTCTGTTCTCAGGCTGATTCCCTACAGCCAGGAAATGTGTGCCTCTGCCAGTTCCCTGAGCTTTCAACTACCCCTTGTCCTGGCATAAAGGTGACAGCTGTGAGCCTGACTGACAGTGCTGGGAGGCAGGACACAATAACGCCCATAGATCTGGATGGGATGAAGATGTTCTCTTTGGGTTAGTGAAAGGTACAAAACTGTCACCTCAGTGTTCCCAGTTACTAATTCTGTTGTTATTTGTGAAGGATGAAGCGTGCTCTGGCCACTTTGGTGGCTCAGCAGCACAGTCAGTCTGGGCTACACGAGGTCCCGCTGGCTGTGTCACTGTAACACTACAGAGGGACTCCAAGCCTGCAAGTAGGACAAGCACTTTTCGCTTGAGCATGCCATGAAGTTTTTTTGAAACTGTTTTTTCCCCAACATGCCTCCTGCAGTGGGTCCAAAATCTGGGCCTTGGTCACTACAGAGTCCCCAGTGGTCCTTCCTTCAGTGTGTGGTCCAAAACGTTTCGTTTAATGGCACCTATCACTCCAGCTTAACAGTCAAAATTCAATCACTCAAGACAGCCTTCACCCCTTTTACTTTATAATAACCTGGAGATCAGAGTTAGTATCAATTGTCTCAGGAAAAACACACACTTAATTCATGCAGTAGCTGTTTGGCCAAGTCGCGGTGCAGAGCAGTATCCAAAAGATGAAACTACCACTGACAACAGCCTGGCTTACTCCACCACCACTGGCAGTGATTCTTTCATACCTATCAGGATTCACTTCACTTTGTAATATTCAGGGAGCACAGAAGCATGAAATTTGATTTCTTTCTTCTGAGATGCTGGAGATTATTTTAATTCTTACTTGGTATCACTGAAAGAAAACTCTTGTTCAGTGGCTTAATATAATGTCTTTTAATATCTGTTTCAGCAATAAAATCTCTGCTTTCTTTTCTATAAGTGTACTAATCTTACTACAGGATATAATTTAAGTAGTAGAATGAAGCAGAATAAAAATAGGCAGCTGCACACAAACAATCTTTTCAAACAGGAACCTGCTCCGAACTATGTGCAGTGTTCAATTAGATTAGACACCAACAATAATTTAAATTCCAGCTCCGACCTTCAATATGAAAAGCAGAAAATGTTCTTTTACCCTTTCCTGGATCTCTGTGTGAACAGATGCACAGTGGAAAGCAGGAAAAGCAGTAATAGCAGACTGCAGGAAAGGCGAGATACATCAAACAGGGGACACCAAATAAAGGAGAAAATGTGGGAGAACTGCCTTGGCAAACAGTGTGTGTATTGCTGTCTGCAGGCCCTGACCCTAAAGCTTGTTACTTGAGAGCCAGATACAGAGAGAGAGAAATGATACACTGGGTTAAAAAAAAAAAGAGAAAAAAAAACCTGCAAGCAAGAGTAACAGGGCAGGCAATAGTGGAAAATACACCCAGAGAATTTACAAATTTATTGTCTGCTTGAAACATATTCCTAGGGGGCTAAAAGGCCACGTTGTTTTGGCTTGAACTCAGTATTAATATTAGAGATCTTAAGGACATTCTTTGACCTGATTGCTCACCTACTGTATGGCCTCCTGCATTACCTGCTCTATGTATGGGTGCACCTACCTGTTCTGGAAAGAAATACTGTATTTCTTAGATAGCTAAGTCTTGATCTACCCTGGGTTTTGACACAGAACATTTACTTTTAAAAGAATAAAATTATCCAATCCCATTTACATGGGAGAGAGACACAAATAAATACCAGTTACTGAGATAAATAAATACAATTCCTGTCTCCACACTGATGTCACCATAAAGATGTTAAAAAAACCCACATATGGCAGCTGTACTCAAAGAAACAAATATATTCATCATGAAAGATTTCAGCTAAATGAAGTCAGGTGAAGTTAGTTACTGCTGGCTTGGCAAATAAAAGCAGAATGATGTCTGGTATCTGGAACTAGAAATAGTCTCCCAACAACAATGAAGGTTAAAAGACTGAAAGAAAACCCCTCACCCCAGTACCCAAGAACACTATAGCAGGGTGGGATGGAAATCATCCCAAAGATGGGGATAAATACCACTATATAACAAAAAGCAATTCACAGGCACAACAGTTTTATTTCCACCTGAAAAGTAACAGCTGTAAGCACATTAGTAATGTCCATGTAAGATTAATCTGTAGTTCAGCATCTACACACTAAAGGGGTTTGTTTTGTCTTTTTAAAGTAAGAGTTCACCTTTCTTAGGGACATGGAGAACACTGCAGGCAATAGCTGTGTTCTCCAGGTTCTTACAGATCTTTAAAAGTAGCCTAGAGAAATTAAAAGGGAGAAAAAAATACCTGAAGAAAGCAGACAAAGGCAGTACTTTTGCTCATATTTTTAAAAAATAATCTTATTTTAGGAAAATCAGACCTTGAAAAAGGTTCCTTCAGGAAACGCTTCCTATTGCAATATGAACAGAATGTACAATATGTACTACATTAAGAGTTATGCCTTCCATACATGAGGAGTAAAGCTGTCCATCTTCATCAGAACTTTTCACGTTTTTCTTCTGATTTCTCATCTATCAGGTCTTTAAATCCCAGTTTTTCCAGTGGTTCATTAGCCATAAGTTGCCTACGTTAAAAAAGAAGAAAACCACATTTCGCATAACAGAGTCTATAACCCAGAGAAGAGCATAATTTTCTATTTAATTCACTATTATTCATTTTCTATTTCATTTAGTATTATTTACTCTACAGAAATCCAAGATATCCATATAGAGTGACTGCTGCTTGGCAAAGCCTTAGAAACGTCAGGTTTTGGGTTAGCAACATTCAGGGATACTTCTTTTTTCCTTACCAGCAGCTTTCCAATTAACTGTGTTGTTTCCTGATTTTTGATACTGAATACGAGTTTCCTCAGAAACTGACCTGGCTCTAATTAAGAGACTTAAAGATAATTACAGACTTCATTAAGATGTTCCTAAAACTCTCCCTGAATTTGTGGCATTTACTACATTCTAAAGTGGATGTGGCTTAGAACAGCATTTGTGATACTGCTCTACTTTACTGCAGTGATTTTCAAATAGGTTTTGATTTGCAGCCCTCCTCCTCACCAACCCATGCAGTGTACGCAAGTCCTTGTATTTAAGTGCATTTAATAACGCCCTCTGTGCATTTCCCAATGAGCTCCCTGACTCAGCACCGTGGAGGAAGCTCCACAAAGCAATGCAAGGGCCGAAACATCCCTGGAAAAGCAATACTTTTTTTCCCTTCACCTGAAAGACAAGTTAAACGTTTCACTTACAAATATAGCTAGGAAAGTAGTAACAACAAAAAGGCTTCGCATTGAGAAAGCTGGCTGTCCAGTTGTTCCATCAGCCCACCGGACAGCTACAGCACATCAAAACCAAGCCAATCAAACTGCTGAAGCCACCAAGGGCACCTGCTTCTTACAAGGCCACAAAGCTCCTCCCGCATGAATGGCTTCCCGTCCCCTCCCCGCCGGTACCTCTCCATACGGCACTCCAGGTAGGCCATGGCGCGTTGTCGGCAGGCACCGCTCTCGTAGCCGCTGTCGCGGAGGCACTCCATGAACCGCTCCTTGAAGGCGCTGCACTCCCCTGCCAAGAGACAGCGAGGGCCGCGTTACCGCCGGGCTCGGAACCGGCACCGCGGCCCCCCAAAACCCGCGGCACTGCGGGGAAGAGGCCGCAGGGAGGCCAGGCCGCCGTTACCGCACCGAAATGATCCAACGGGAAGGCGCCCTTGTCCGGCGGCCGCGGCTTGAAGCTTTTGCTGCTGAAGTTCATAGCGGTGGACATGCCGCCGGAGAGGGGGAGCGGGCCGGGACCACGTCCCTCCCGTCACTCGCTCGCCACCGGAGGCAACCGAACACCGAGCGGCGCCAGAGCGCCGAGCGCATCGAGCGGAGCACGTGACCGCCTCCGCGCCGCTATGGAAACGGCGTGGGCGTTGCTATGGCAACCGGAGAGCCTCGCTCTGGGGAGAGGGGTGTCGCCATGGCAACGCGGTAGGAATGATGTCACCGCTGCGGACCGCCGCCGCCGGTCACCATGGAGACGCCGCCGCTGCCCGTCAGGATGGGCTCGGCCGCTGGGGTCGGTCCCCCCGCGATGGGGGTTCGGGTCGGCGGCGTTCCCGCTGCCATACATCGGCTGCTGGTGATAACAAATAAACAGGCTGGTCCTCATCAAAACCTTGTGGTGCTCCTCAGTCACCTCAGAACTCTCTGAACGGGAGGGGCGAGAGCCATGGTTGTGGGAAGGCAGCCTGCTGAGGGGTAGGGAACATGGGTGTCCTCTTGTGTCTGTTCATCTGGAGGTGAAGGGAGAAGGCGAGCCCGCGGTCAGCAGCTCCGTTTATACAGGATCCAGCCCTGACAAAGCTGCTCCTGGTTCCACCCGTAAGTGTGTGGTCAAGGTCCCTCCACCACAAGTTCCTCACCCACAGCTGCTGAGCACTGGGTCTAGACTTAAAAACACACGTTTGAGGACCCAGCTCTGGCTGGCGGTGTGACCTGAGAGCCCTGGGGACCAGCACATGGCTGAGGCACCCCCAGGAGGCAGCAGCAACATTCCTTAGAACTCCCGCAGGATTTTGGAAGGGCCATCCCCATCCCGCTGCACTGACCTGAACTCCAGCGGATGTGATTGCTCATCCCTCATTAATCCGCACGGGTTAACATCCTTGCACAGACCTGATGGGCAGCACAGAATTATTTTATGCCTCCTACAAGCAATGGGCAAGCAGACAGCTTCCCATCACACAGCAAGACAAAAGGTCATTGACAGATGCTGGGGAAACAGTGAACTTCCAAACCTCAGGACAGAGACCAAGAAGAACACCCCTTTTGCCTGCACGCTCTCTGCAGAGCCTCAGATCTCATCCTGAAAGGAGGATGAGGAATAGCATTAATTTAACCCACCCGAGTGCTAACTGTGGATGACGCTGCTAGAGTCTTTTTTCTTCTTTGCCCGTGGCTGCAATTGGTCTTTTTAGTTGATTTTCTTTTAATTAAATTATTGAGACAAGTAGAATTCAAGGCTGGCTGGGGGAGAGAAACAGCTGCAATTGTTAAGGACAGCCATTATGGAAATATTACCTGCAGGCCCATTTCAAGTGCATTTTGTTTATGCTTTGATTGCTTTCTTATTACAGTATTGAAATTGTAAATGGAAAATTACACCAGGTTCTGTTACACAAGCAACTGGTTTACGCAGCCTGAAATATAAGGTTTTATTTATTATTATGTTTTCAGGGCTGTGAACAATAGATGTTTTTTATTATAGGGTAAATAGCACTTTTCCACTTGACTTCATTATAACACTTAACAGTAAAAGGGAGATACTCCTCTTTCAGAAACACATGCAGCAAACTGCCTCCCAGATCTTAGAAGACTGGGCAGCAGAGAAGCTGCTTGTTTTATCCGGACAAGTTTAACTGAAGTGTTAAGGCACTTGATTTTAGCAAACTGACCAAATTACGTTCCTTAGCTCCTGGCATAGTGGTTGACTTTCTGATTCCCTGTGTGATGAAGGAAGAAATCAAAGGGAAAAGATATTCAGGGATCCCACAGTGGAATTATTCCCAAACAGACTACAACAATCCTTTCCACTTCTGTTTAATATCTTAACCAATGATCTGGGCAAGGGGATCAAGTGCACCCTCAGTGAGCTCACAGATGACACCAAGTTGGGCAGAACTGTTGATCTGCTGGAGGCTAGGAAGGCTCTACAAAGGGATCTGGACAGGCTGGATATGGGCCAAGGCCAACTGTATGAGGTTCACCAAGGCTCAGTGCTGGGTCTTGCACTTGGGTCACAACAACCCCATGTAATGCTACAGGCTTGGACAAGCGTGCCTGAAAGCTGCTCAGTGGAAAAGGTCTTGGGGATGTTGGTCAATAGCAGCTGAACACAAGCCAGCAGTGTGCTGGTGGACAAGTGCCCAGGTGAACAAGACCACTGACATCCTGGCAAGTATCAGAAATAGTGTGACCAGCAGGACCAGGGCAGTGTTTGCCCACCTGCACTGGGCACTGGTGAGGCTGCACCTCAACTCATGTTCAGCTTTTGGCCCCTCACTACAAGAGAGAACCTGAAATACTGGAGCATGTCCAGAGGAGGACAGTGAAGCTGGTGAAGGGCCTGGAGCACAAGTCTGATGAGGAATGGCCGAGGGAACTGGTGTTGTTTAGCCTGGAGGAAAGGAGGCTGAGGGGAGACCTTATCACTTTCTACAACTACATGAAAGTACAGGACAAGAGGAAATGGCTTCAAGTTGTGCAAGCAGAAGTTTAGGTTGGATATTAGGGAAAATTTCACCAGAAGGGTTGTCAAGCACTGGAACAGGCTGCCCAGGGAAGTGGTGGAGTCACCATCTCTGGAGGGATTTAAAAGATGTGTAGATGTGGCCCTTACGGACATGGTTTAGTGGTGGACCTGGCAGGGCTGGGTTAATGGCTGGACTCGATCTTAAGGTTTTTTTCCATCCTAAAGGACTCTATGATTCTATGCAAAGGCTATATCAACTTTCTGTATTATATTACATTCAAATGCTTTGATTACTTATCATAAACTCCATGTCTTTCTTTGGAGTCTTAAACTTTGTAGTTACCCAAATTCAGGTCAGGTATAGTAGCAGGTGTTTGGCTATGCTTACTTAATGTTTTTACTGCAAATGTCAGTTGTATCTTCTAGAGTTTCCTGTAAAGGTACAGTTTGTCTTAGACTCTAATACATGTGCTTTAGCAGCTTAGTATGTATTTTTCCCAAGGAGATCAAATGAACCCCCATTAGATAATCAGTGCGAAGAAAAAAACCTCATTTGCAGCTTAAACCAACCAGTTCCAAAAGAATTCAGTAAAAACAGTGCCACAAAGAGCAGTGCCACAAACAGAGAATTAAATGCTCTTCACATATTACCTTTCAAAGAAGTGAGAGACTTTCACAGCACCAGAGAGATCTGAAATAGCTGCTTCAGTAAAAAGGTGCCCATTGTACAAGAGAGATCAGATAATCTGTAAAGCATGCAGTGTTTTACAGTAGTCACAGTCTGGAGTCCTGAGCCCTTTCCAAACATTAGAAGGCTCCCCAAACTAGGGAAAACCTGGGGTCTTCCCCTTTCAAGTTACACAGCTGGATAGTTAAAATAAAGAACAAAAATCCTTTGCTTGAATCAGAACTGTTAGTCATTAATTATGGAGTAAGGAGTCATTAATTATGGATTACAGTAACATTTAAAAAATGTTTGCCCTTTTGCAATGTTGTCAGATCACCCTGAAAACTTACTGTGCTTATCCATCAGTTAAACAAATGTACCTTCAGAAGGAGTCTTCACACACTTAGCATTACTTTTGGAAGTGCCAAAGTGAATAATACATCAGGGCGGAACCTTTATTCTTTTATATAGGCAAGGTAAACTCCAGGACTTTCATTACTTTCTCTCTCTCATGGCACATCTCTAAAGAGCCTACAGATTCAAATTATCAGGTAGTTAATTTGAAACTAATTTATAGACAAGCCATGAAAGGCTTTGAATAAAGTACATGGGGATTTTGTAGCCTGACTTGGGATAGCTGTAAGAAATTAATCAGTTGAACAAGACCAAGCACATTCAGACACTGGAATTTGTGCCCTTGAGACTGCTGTTCCCAGCCCAGGCACAGAACACACCTCAGAGAAACATCCTTCCAGGATCACTCATTCCTACGCCTCACCCTCGCACAGCAAGCATGCCGCCAGCTCTTACATAAGGTCTCTTGCTACATCACTGCCACAGGCTGTTGTAAACCATTTTTCTCCCTTTTAGTTCAGGTTCCTAGACAAGCAAAAATGCAGAATATTGCCAGAATAGTCTGGGGAATGGGGATTTCTGCTGTGGATGATTAATGAAAAATTAATGTTTTGCACTTACAGGGAAATCATAGTTTCATGCCAGTAAGGTCAGGGCCTTAATACATTATGCGCTCTACAAAGATGTACAGAATGATAGCTCATTTTCTGTTAAGACTGGGCCAAAACCTCATCAGGTTAGAGGGGAATGTGGTAGAAATAGTAACACTGCGCTGAAAGCCAAAGCAAACTTCTTTCTTACATTGCGGGTTGCAATTCTGGTATATCTAAATCCACATCTCTATCTGCATCAAGACAGGGAGTCCAAAAGTAAGATGCGGGGACCCTGGCTCTACTGATACATACCAACTAACCATCCTTCATGGTATGTCCCAAATTGCCCTTGAATTAATATGATTTCTGCAATACTGTGTTGAGACAGACTGCAGCTAGAGACCCAAGAAAATCTGTGGAGCTATGTCAAGGCATTTGATTTGTTCAGCCACAGTTTGAAAATAAATTCTTTATAACCTTACCTCCTCAGAACTAACTTCCCAGGTCAGGCTGCCTTGGCTTGTTGGCTGAAGTGTGGGGCCTGGAAGAGTATTCTTATAGGTACACATATTATAAGGTACATTAAAAGCACCGAATCCCAGGATCTCCATGTATCACCAAGTGAGACTCATGAAGGAATGACATCTATTCAGTGAAGAACAAGGCTTTTAAAAGCAACAAAGTTCTTGAGAATGGTTTGTGGTTAAAAGGGGCAAATGCTTAACAGAAGAGGGAAATACTGTCACTCTAGGCTCTGCAGAGACAATGCACTAGTCCTATGCACATACATGATATTTTCTTCTCCCAGTGACCAGGCCCATCACATACAATCTTTCAGCTCAGAATATGGAAAAAAAAACCCAAAGAATCTTTCATTGGAATTTTGCAGTGAAATAATGATTTTTTTTTTTTAAAGTATATTTTCAGAGTCTTTCTTCTCACAGTAGATGTGAACCACACACTGATTTGACAGATAAATGAAAGGCAATCCAGTGCAAGTTATTTGTATCGAAATGAGCCTAGCAAACACTTGAGATAGTGATCAGTGTAGTGATCCTGTAGAAATACCAATCTCCAGGATGGGAAGAAGCAGGTGTAATCCAATAAAACAATGCCATAATTATGAAAAAGTGAAAGAGGTCAAAGTCAGAAAGCTTTTGATTCCTTTTTGCATTGGCATTTTTCAAGGTGAGCAAAATCCATTAGCAAGGAGCAGCTTGAGTTTTAACGCATCTGAGCCTTTAAGAATGTTAATGTTTAATAGGGTGTGCTCATGCTTTATATATCCCTGATAACAATGCATGGGCTGATAGGCATCTCCTGAGGTTGTAAATCAGTAGCAGAGCCTTGCAAGGCACACAAGCACTTGGTGTTCACTCTCCTGGTTTATTATGTTATCAGAACTCATTGACTGAATTATGGCCTTATAACAGCTCTTTCTCAGCATTATCCTACTGTTACTGTAGCATTATTAACCTGTGTCCCAGTAGAAGATTATATATCCTTCTCCAGATGAGCACACAGAAGTTAGACGACTCTGTGGCTGTTTAATATACAGGCTCATATTCTAGGAGGAACTGAATTATTTCCCTGAGCTATGCCCACAAAGTTGCTTACCTGAAGATGATATCAGTTCTGGTTTGGGCTGGTAGAAAGACAAAGACTTTTGTCTTTGGGAGTGGAGAGCAACATTTTCTCCATTAGTATTCAGCTGGGCCCATGAAGGGTGTTTCATCACTCTTACTGTATCTTATAAAGTCTCAAGAGTCTCAGCGGACACACCATTTGCTCAGACAAGAGTCTGGCACAACAGGGTATTCTTAGAAATGTCTGGGACAAGAGGGTGCAGACCAGGACTCCATAGTTGTGCAGCAGTTATGATATGGACATGACCATCCATTGCCCTCCTTTCTCTGTCCACCCTGCCTAGTTCTTTTCTGCACAGGACAATTCCCCTGGGAAAAGCTCCACTCCTGATAACAAGCCTTGGAGACGAGGCAGATGTGCAGGCACCTTTTTCATGTCAATCTAGTTATAGTTTATTAATTCCCCTTGCCTTCAGCTAATGTACTTGTATTAATAAATAATCATCATTTTTCCATCAGTGGAGCCTGCGCCCGGGAGCCTTGCAGGATTCTAGGAAAAGTATTTATTAAAACTAAAGATTTCTGAGGGTAGAACAGCAGCACGGCCCAATAATCTGACAGAATCTGCAACTGGGGGGCAAAATATCCCCACTTGAGAATATGTGATAGAGCATCACATTGGCTTCTTCCACCCAGAGCTACCATTTAAAACTGTGACCTTCTGTTCATGCTCATTTCTGCTATGTTGTCATACCCCAAGGATGCAAAAGGCCCTTGGGGAGCTGTTGCCCAGGCATGCAGGCTCTTGCAGGACCATGCTCTGGCACGGTGCATGACTCAGTTCACCTGCAGTGCCAGGGCTGTTGCTGTGTGCTCCTCCTGGCAATAGCTCTGCAATTGCTGCCCAGGCAGTCACTGTCCTCCATCCTCTGCCTGGGCACCTGCAGAGCTTGACCCTGGCTCCTCCCAGGTTACAAAGATCCAGGATCTCTTTCCCAACCTAGGCAGAAATATTGCCTGGACAGGACAGGGTTTCTCCTCCAGGATTGCATGCCTCTGCTTGTAAACAGGCAGGACAGACAGGAAAGAGTCATCACCAGACTTGGAGACAATGATGGACAACCAGGAACACAGTCCTCTGGACAGTAAACTGTGAAATAGAGGCTGAAGTGTTTTCAGGGTCATTTTGGGACTGTTGGTAGAGTATTTTGGTGACGAAGATCAATACAGCATCAGCAGTGAAAACACTGTGTTGCTCAGAGGTGATTTTACTGGGGTAGCAGGAAAACAGAATCAGAGCGGTCACCTGCAAGTAGACCTACTCCCACCTGCAATCTGAACTAGCACATATTCACGTTACCATCATTCCAACTCCTCCTTGGCAAGCCTTGTCTTCCCTGAGGTCTTCCTTGCCAGCTGTCCCTTGGGCCATGCATTATTGGGGGCTTTCCCTCCCGTGTCCTGCTTCCTTCCCAAGGAAGGAAGTCAATACTAAACAAGGATGTCATAACAGTATCCATATATAAACAAGAGTCAATATAGATTCCAGTATCGCAAGGTACAGCACACAGCAAGTACAGTCGTAAATAAGCTTTTTGAAAATAGTAAACCAATTGCCCACCAGATACATCAGTCCATCAGATACAGACAATGCAGCAGCAGAAAGAGGATGCAAAGGAAGAGGACAAAAAGCCCGAGACACCTCCAAAGAAATCCTGAGCATGTCCAATGGCAATGGCCTGCATGAGGTTTGGCGCCCAGTATTTTGGAAAGGACAAGGCATTCTTGGGAAGGAATCACCAAGGAAGCTTACATCACCAGTGGTCCAGCTGAGTCCTGTGACCTGGCACCCTGACAGCAACCCAGCGCGGTCCCTTAATTCTGTGCCTGAAATCACATACCACAACATGTCCACAACACAGATTTTCACTGGAAAACAAACACCTTGTCCCAGTGTTGTAAATGAAATAAGAGCTCCAGATTAAGATAATCCATGTTTCAGAATAAAATAGGGTGCTTTCTTTGGCAGAAAAATAAAATACATCTGGCCTAAGTGGAAGTAAACAAGACTTAGGCTCCTTTTCTCCATGTAAAGCCACTTCCCCAGAAGGTGTGTTCAGATGATGCTATAAAGGGACCCCAAGATGCTCATGCCCACACTTTGATTTAGAAATGGCCATACAGAGTTTGCTGCAGTACATGGGCTCTAGCTTGTTGCTCTTTCTGGCAGCAGGTCTGGTTGCTCTCCTTTACTTCGTTACCAGCTTGAAGAAGTCTGTTTGCAGTTTGCCTCCTGGGCCACGTCCTCTTCCTCTGATTGGAAACTTGAATGTGGTGGACCTGAAAAAGCCGTTCCAGTCGCTGACAGAGGTAGGGTCTGAGTGAGCAGGCAGAAGGAAAACATGCAATTCCTGGAATGAGAAACACAACTGTGGAAATGGAGATGTGATTGTGTTTGCATTGTGCGGAGGGCAGAAATTATATATTTGATGTATAGCCAGGCTGGCAGAATGACTATCTTTAGAGGTATATATGCACACACATGTATTTATTTATATAACTATAATACACGTATTCCTTCCTTTATATACATGTGAGTGTAGACCCCAGCCCTTGCAATCAGATCCATATTGTTGATATTTTGAGCCCCTCAGAGTCTGCAGGTAGAAGACTCAGGTTGGACCAGCCTGCTGACAGATATGGGCTATTTGGCCTGAAGAGATGTCTCGCTGCAGATAAACCTTTCCCACTGAAGGTAGGTAGGAAGGAAGAAAAGGAGAAAGGAAGGAAGGGTACCATGCCCACAGCAGAAGAAATCATAGAATCACAGAATGGTTTGGGTTGGAAGGAACCTTAAAGAGCATCTAGCTCTGACACACTGCCATGGGCAGGGCCACCTTTCAGTCAACCAGATTGCTCAAGGCCCCATCTAATCTGGCCTTGAACACTTCCAGGGAAATGGGATCATATGCACATTTATTTCCAAAGCTAATTATACCCCTTCAAGGCAAAGCTCAGCTCTGCCTCCCCAGCCCTTCCCCTGCACACACACACTGCCCAGCATTAGTTAAGACTTGATGCATGGCTTTTATATGTCTAGGTAACAAATAGCTTTTTCTTATGCAGCTCCATGGATAGTTTTATTACTAAAAGAGGAAAAAAAAAAAGACTTAAATATTATAAATCCAGGTGCAATATTTGTTTCAGAAAGTGTCTGCTGTGTTCCGTTAGGGTGGTGGGGACACGTCAATGTGAATTCAGATTTCTTCCGGTTGCTGTAGAAACAGTTGAGGTGCCATGAATGACCTGTCACATACCCTACATATGGGCTTACCAGACACTATGATGGGGGAAAGCCAGTCCCCAGTAAATTCTCTCAGCCACCTGAAGAGCCACAATGAGGGGGGGAGTGCAGACACTGAAATCTTCCAGGTTGTCATAGAAGAAAGGGTACCCTAGGGTGCAAAAGTACAGAATTCCTGTAGCAGTCATGCAGTGTTCACCTGCTTTGATTTACAGTGCAGAGGATTGTGAAGAGCCCAATGACGGGCTTCTGGTCCTGAGCTCCCACCTGATCATGGGTATATTTGAGGGTGCTGGTATGGAAGAACAGCTATTTTTTTGGTGGTATGGGGGTATTTAATAATACAAATGTCATGCGAAGGCACCAGACTTATTTCCTATAATCTGCCAAGCAGCTTTTATAGGCTTTCAGACCTGCCACATCCAATACATGGTGCTGCTAAAAATAAACAAGGTTGATGCCAAGAGTACAGTACTAATGCAAAGAAATGACCACAGGAAGGCTAGGAGTCGGCTGCAATTCTCTGCCCCTGGCTCTGCCACACACTCTGTGAGCTGCCGGGGATGAAAGAACCAGTGTTAATGTTATCTCCCAAGCCGTCAAACCACCATTTGATGAAAACAAATTCAATTTGTCTGGTGTAATAACGGGAGCTGCTTCTAATCTGAAATTCAATTTTCAGAATGTATCTAATACATAGCAAATGCTAACTCAGGCGCATCGGAAACAAGAAGACATTTGGAGCGGATGGCTTGCAGTGTGTTTAAACCAAGTCTAAAATACAGAGTGAATGATTAGATTGTCAAAGCCACCCTTCTGTGTAACAGATGATTCAGATTTAATTTGCTGTAAAAGCCTAGAGCTCCTCTGATATTATCTACAAGAATCTGCTTCCTAGTTGGATTCAAGTTTCTGGTGGCCAGCAAATAATTTCGCGATGACTGCAACACTACCCACCTTGACATAATTAGGGACAAGTGCTGTCCTGAAAGAAAGACTTATTGTCTAGCTTTGTTTTTGTAGTGTTTGTGGCTTCGGCCTCAAAGATGTATGCACACCCGCTTGCCTCAGGTCACCAGCGTTAAAGTAAACAGGCCTGCCTCAGCTGCCTGCTACAGCAGTTTCCAACCAGCCTCCAAATGGTAGTATCACTATGCTGGCCTGTTACTGCAGAACACCACAGGAATGCAATGGCATTTTATTGACTTCTCCGATAGAAGCAGTGATAGCAGACACCTTGTTGTGCAAACAAGGTGCAAGCAAAGATGCTGGCAATTGATAGCTGTTGCTCATTAGTTGCATTGTAGCAGCACCTGGAGACTTCAGGCAGGGCCAGGAGGCTCCTTTGGGGCTAGAAAGCACCTAGGGTGACTATTGCTAGCTTTTAGGTCCAGATTGGGTTCAGAATGAACATATTTATTCACCTTGACAGCTCTCCAAGATATACGGCAATGTCTTCACTGTGCATTTTGGACCCAGGAAAGCTGTGGTACTGGCTGGCTATGAAACCATCAAGGATGCCCTTTTAAATCATGCTGAAGAATTTGGAGAGAGGGCAGAAATACCCATATTTAGGAAAATGACACAAGGAAATGGTAAGTGACCTTTTGGTCGGTTGGGTCTGTGTTCATTATATTCTCGCAGGCAGGGATTATCAAGCTCTTACAGATTGCTTTTTGTCTATATAATAGTGCGTCAAGCAGCTGTGGTACCGGTGTGTAAGAAGGTCTTAACAACGTTTATTAACCACAGGTAACATAAGGATGTTACACCTTTATTTTAGGCATAGCATTCAGCCATGGAGAGCTATGGAAAACTATGAGAAGATTCACCTTGTCCACACTGCGAGATTTCGGAATGGGAAAGAGAACCATTGAGATACGAATCCTGGAGGAAGTAAATTCCCTTATCAAATATTTTGAATCCTACCATGGTGAGTGTCAAGACTTACATCCAGAGACAGAAAAAATGTCTAGCAGAACAATAAAGATTAATGAAAGTTTAACTCTAAGTAAATGCTATCTCATGGTTAAAGTTCAGCGTATGCTGAAGCAGGTTATTAAACTGAAGCCTTAAAACCTTGAAACTGAGTTATCTGCTATGGATTCTGGGTGGTGAATGAGGGTATTTTTTGGACTACATTTCCATAGGAAACCAGACTAAAATAAGCATCATCATATTGTCATTTGTTTTCATTGCTTCAAATACAGGGAAACCATTTGACACAAAAATGATACTCAACAGCGCTGTGTCCAATGTCATTTGCTCTATATTGTTTGGAGAGAGGTTTGAATATGATGATCCTGTATTTCTGACTTTGCTGAAGCTGATGAATGAAAATACTAAGCTGTTGGGCTCCCCTATGGTGCTGGTAAGAGCTTGATTTTATGTTTTAGCCTTTAGTTTTGGGGGGATATCTGGCTGCCTGTGTTTGTCCTTCTGGCCTCTCACAGCTTGCTTCTTCAGAACAATAACATTATCAGCCAGCCAGCCAGCCTGTACAGAACACATCTGTGGTTCTAGTTCCCCAACACACAGATTCCCAGGCCCCTGTGTGAATCTTATTAGTAAAAGAAAAAATGCTGAAGTCTTCACAAAGGAACTGTTTTAACCTCTTTGAAGAGCAGAAGCACAATACGTCTCTCGTATTAGACGGATCCTGAAATACCATCTCAAATCTGTCTCCTTGTATTACACACACCTTTGGTAACTGTCTCTGCCTCTCCTAGAACCAGGTTTGACAAACTTCTTTTTCTTTTATTTTGGCCACTGAAACTCAATCTTAGCAAACTGTCAGCTGATATAAGCCTGTTCCCTCCTGACACAAAGCTTCAGCTTTGAACACCAGCGGAGCTGTCTTTCTCAGCCACAGTGAGGTCTGTGGCCAGCTGTAACACCAGACTAGCAAAGCCCCTCAAACCACCATGCAAACACAGGTCAGAGTTACACACTGTGTACAGAGACCATCCCAGAATGAGGCACCATAACAGCTAACGGCTGGTGTTTGTTCAGTTGTCTGGCAGGGCAGCTAGTGGACTTCTTGTGCACACCTCTCATGGGTTGATGGGGTGAGACCCCTCCTTTTTCCTGGCAGCATGTATGTCTATGCTCCTAGGAGCAGCATAGTTGGGTTAGCTTGGTGCCCTGCCTAAGTTACTTGGCTTGGAAAGCGCCATGTTGACACAGCAATATTGTTTGTCTGTGGAGGTGGTCAGTTCAAGTCCCTTCTGCTGCCACAGGATGTGACACACCTGAGATCTTCTCCTGAAATACGTACAATGCTCACATTCTCATCTTTCACATCTGAAACCCTGTAGCTCAACACCTGGAAGCCCTCAAAGATTAAGCTGATGATTCTCCCAAAAGTCATGTCGAGGACTCATGCAGAGATATAACAGAGAGAACACTCTATTTCTGCAGAAGTTCATATCTGCTTGGACTGTACAGGAGAATGCGGGGGAATTATGGCCTGAGATGTCAGGGCATGGGACAAGGGACCAGCAGTGTGGTTTGGGACAGCAGTGTATGTTCAAAATGCCAATTAACAGTAAGGCTTCTCTTGCTCCACAGTTATATAATTTCTACCCATCCCTTGGATTTCTCTCTGGAGCTTCCAGGACTGTGCTGCAAAACATCAGTGAACTGAATGCTTTCCTCCAGAAGCAATTCCAGGCACACAAGGAAGAGTTTAATGAAAATAACTTAACAGGCTTTGTGGATGCCTTTCTGATGAAGCAGCAACAGGTACTTTAAAGCCAAGTCTGAGTCTTTCTGTTCTCTTAGCCCTGACTTACTATTAGGGCTGATCCTCTGTGTGGGACTGAGAGTGAGTGGAAACAGAAGTGCAATAAGCAGAACATATCAAAGCTCATACTCACATTGAGCCGTGCTGTGCTCGCTCCATAGCTCCACTGAAACTGCTGGTTACAGGGATCTAGTTGTCAAGATGTCCCACATAAGTGAAATAAGTTACCACTCAGCACACATAAGGAGGAGATCATCCTAAACCTTCCTGTAAGAATAATAAGTGATTAACTTCATTGCAGTAGCTAAATGCCAACTAACCTCCCCTAACCTAGGGACTGCGCATACACTTGGGACCAGACGAATTCCACACAGCATAGGCCCTTCTGCTGAGAAAGGCATTTCCACCACTAGACATATAGTTTCCCAGAGCATATAAAGTCACCAAAAGCCAAATTGCAGACAAAATGGTGGCAACACAGTCATATATTGGTATCACTTGCTGTAGAACTTATGGCCATTACCTGTATGTTTTGAAGGAGTCAAAGAAAGGCCAAACTATGTTCAGCAATGGAAACTTGATGTTTTCAACCCTGGACCTCTTTGCTGCTGGGACTGAGACTACTTCTACAACTGTGCGCTGGGGTCTTCTTCTGATGATGAAATACCCAGAAATTCAGAGTAAGGCTGAGGAGTCCTCTTGTACAATATACTAATGCATGCTTAAGGCTTTGGTTGTGGAAGGGAGTGGAACTCATCCGTTGTTGTCCAGAGTAATTATTCTGAGTATTCTGGGAGAGATAACAACCGTTGACTTTACAAAGGAATTTTATTCAGCTGGATTGCAATAAAGCAGCCCAGCCAAGTGGGAGAGGCTGAGGGCCAGTCTACAGTTAACAGTAAAGATCCCCCATAGTTATTCACCTGCAGGCTATGGGCTTACGTCACTAAAGGTCTCCTCAGGAGCTGATTCTGATCTGGTTTCTGTTGAAGGTTATGGGGTAACAAAGGTGTGTAATCAGAATCAGGCATGGGATGTACTGTAGTGACTACAAGCTCCCTTGGCTCAACAACAAACCTGAAAGAACCACACCATGCCCTGATCACACACTTCTGCTCTTCCCAAATACCCCTCAAAATTTTCCATTACTTCACCTTGGCCAAACTGGAGGCAATTTCAGTTGCAAGATAAGAGGGTTATCAGCTTCTTAAACCTTTCCTCCCTCCAAGGAAAGATTCAGGAAGAAATGAACCACGTCATTGAACCAGGAGAGATGCCTAAGTTGGAGGACCGGAAAAAAATGCCTTACACAGATGCAGTGATACATGAAATACAAAGGTTTGCCAATATTGTCCCAATGGGCGTATCACGATCAACTCCTACCGATGTGAATTTCCAAGGCTATGTGATTCCTAAGGTGAGCTTTGAGGCTAGCAGCTTATGCTGCACAGATTCCTTACAGTTTTGTTTAAAGCAGTTAAGAATCAAAATATAAAAATCTAAAGATGCCACGATGTGTGGTTCAATCTATGATGTGATCCTTTGTCTTGGACCTAGAGTAGTTGTTACAAACAGGCACTGGACTGTCATCTGTTGCAGTCTTTGAATCCTGAATAACCAGAGACTTTAATTAAATCACGCTGGTTTGAATCTCTTATACCAAATGTGGAACCTTTACTTCAGCATTCATTCATTCCCTTTCTTTAAAGATCTGACTCTAAGAAGGGGCTGTTCTGTGGTCCAAAAAGACAGCAGCAGCTACTGATAGCAGGCAGAGCTACAGTGGGGCAGAGAAGCGTTCCCCAGTTCTATTTGCCATGGCTCAGTCTTATTTCTCTCTTCACATTAGAAAAAACCCAAGTGGCTAGCCTTGACTAGATCTGGTCCAAACAGCTACTGTGAGTTTCTTTCGTCCCTTTCAGGGTACAGAGATTATTCCACTGCTGACCTCTGCTCTGAATGATGAGTTACACTGGAAAACCCCAGATCAGTTCAACCCTTCCCACTTCCTGGATGCCAATGGGAACTTCATTAGGAGAGAAGCGTTTATTCCATTCTCTATAGGTGAGAGGGGTGTGTGTGTACCACCTGGGTCTGGGCTAATGGCATGGTTCCCCCTGATTCTAGGCAAATATGAAAGTCAGGGACTTAGAACATAGGATAAGGGATTTTTGGTCGTTTTTCCTGTCCACCATTGCTGCAGGTAACCACCTCTTTGGGAGATCCAGCAGACACTGATCTACCCACAGTCACTGAATAATTTCACATACCTACAGGCTTCAGTGAAGTTTGCAACTAGGCCAGTAGCACTTCCAATATACAGGGAGAAGGAAGGCATTTCCTACCTGAGCAGCCTGCTCTTACAGATGGTACATCCAGTTTAAAAGGTCTCGGACATCAACAGTAACAGTTACAGCACTCACCATATACTTCTCTCCTGGCTGTTTTCAGGACGAAGGGCTTGTGTTGGAGAAGGACTGGCCAAAATGGAGCTGTTCCTTTTCTTTGCTGGCTTGCTCCGCAGATTTGTTTTCCAGCCCCCTCCAGGAGTGGATAAGTCAGACCTGGATCTCACTGCTGATGTTGGCTTTACCTTGAACCCCATGCCTCACTTGGTTTGTGCTGTGCCTTATGAATGACCAGACAACACGGAGTTTGAGTAGTGAGCACTTCAAGCTTGAAAGCAAGTGTAGTTAAGGGGAAAAAAGCTTTTGGTACCTGAGCTTTAGGGAAATGGAAGACACCGGGCACTGCTCTTTTTCTTTCATTCATGCCATTTTTTCCAACAGCTTTTGTGGTGTCTGTCTAATGCGGATCCTTCAGACACCCCTGAGTACTGCTCTCAGAAACTGTGATTCATTCCTGGAACAGCACATCAGAGATGCAGTTTTCAGGGCTGTCTGAAAGAATGAAATGGCTTCAAGGCTCCTGTACAGATGTAACCCATCAGAGGCTCTCCCCTAAGAGCCTCCATGGGGAATTTCTCAGCCTGAAGTGTAAGCTTCAAGCTGAGAAAATTGGCAGAGCTGATTTTTGATGACCCTGCTGGAGACAACAGACACTAAATGGATCTAGAAATCTCCCTAGTACAGTTGTTCAGCTGAGCTTCAGACTGAGTTTCCATTGTGCGATACAACCTGCCTTATCTTTATTACAGAGTCCCAGACACGAGGGTGTAACATGGGCTGATGCCAAGCGCCAGGCACGGGACAGTTATCAGAAAACATCTAAGTGGTTTGGGAAGTGGGTTCATTCCAACTCACACTAGGCACTTTATGCTGAAGAGCCTATTTATGATGGGGCCAATCTAGCAGCTTTCTGCATCTGCTGAGAAAGGCATTTCTACACCTCCCTTACCTACCCTGGCTTCATGCTGTCTCTGGCACTTGTCTGACCCCTTACTGGGCCATCTTAGACCCCTAAACTGGCAGAAAATGACTGGCCAAACAAAGTGAAGTTTCTGAATCAACACAGCTAAAGCCGGACACAAGGCCAAGGCAGTGTGAAGGTGATGCAGCCTGGGGCTGGGCAGCAGGACTTGCCACGCTCCCATCAGAGAGCTAAGAGAGTCTCAGCCCTCTTCTCCATTTGCACCTTAGGAGCTGTAGTCACTCTCTAGACCCTCTCTACCCTCCTGGAGGAGAGAGGGTCTCCTGGAAGGAGAGAGAGGCTCCTTCAGTGGGTGATTCACCCCCCATAAGGTCTCAATTGCTTACTCTCTCTACTGACTGCAGGGTGAACCATCCTTCACAGGTTCCCAGTTCAAACTTCAGTCTCATGTATCAGGTGTGTTAGGATGAATAAGGACAGTATTGTCCATTTAACTTAAAATACAGCTTCAAATCTTTAGAAAATTCTGTTTGTCTTCAGGTCTAGACCAGGTACACAGAGGCTGTGCAGCTGGTGTAGAGCTACAGCCAGCCAGCAACTTCAAGCTGTCTTCTTCTTTATACGTTCCTTATGTCAGGGATAGGCAGCAAGTTCTCCAGGCAGAGTAACAGCTCAGCCTGCACCACTGAGCAAACGCTACTGCCATGGGCTCCCATGGAAGTTACATGTGCTCAGCACACAGCAGGAGCAGGCCCATTGCAGTAAGAACTGCAAGTGAGATTTTGGTGCTTGCAGAATGTGCTTTGGCCACTTTCATAGGAAGTGAAGTTACAAATTCAGAGCTGGTAATGTTCATGTTCTGCCAGCAGAGATCCTGCATCACTGTCACGGATAATAGGATTTTGAATGTAGTCGCTGTGAAAACAGATGTAAAACTGGTAATAGAGTCTGGAAAAAGAAGCAGGATAGGCTTTGTTACCAAGTCATTCACCTGTACCATTAACTTGTCCTGTGGGGTCTCTGCAGAAAGCTGGTGACACCCCAGAGACTGTGGCTGTCCTAGAGCAACTGTTTGACTACCACAATTAATGATCTATTTCATGTAACAGCCATCAGGAGTAGGAACACCTACCTGTACCCACAGGGCTACACCAGTTGAGGGAAGCATGATACGTGTGTGAGATCTGAACAGTGGTGCAGGTACAAGAGAGGAGGCTGCTGTGTGTGCTGTGAAACAAGGAGGAAACCACAGGTGGGTTAGGGAGCAGTGAGTCACTGAAGATGCTTTTGTGCTGGTTGAGGCAAGAAAGACAGGCTGGGATGAAAAGAAAAAAGGGAGAAACAGAAAGTTACAGAGACTGAGGGGGCAGGTATGGTTAATATAAAACATAAAACTAAAGCTGCTGTCACCTAAAGCTGATCTATGCTGCAAATGGAAGGAAAGAAAGGAGGAAGAGAATATGAAGGGATGACAAGTTGGGGCAGTCTTTGGCTATGACACAGACTCTTCACACTAGCTTTAGTTCATGTAACTAAAGGCAGCACTCTAATAGTTGCACTGTACCTTGTACTTGTACTGCTATTGCAGTGGTATTGCACTTGTATGTGCATTGTACCTACCACAGTGCTAGCCCCAGCTTCTGGTCACATCTCAAGGAGGCTGTAACTCTCGCTTATGTTTGTTTTGCTGTTGCTCTATTTGCAGTGTAACTACCGCAAGCCTGATCTTATCTCCTGCTTAATAAATAAATATTTTGCTCTGTTGCTGTTGATCTATCTGTTGTTGCAGGATGAACTTGATTTGGGGTCAAACTGATAAAGTTGGGTTGCACTGCCTTTAATACACCCACTCTAGACAGGGATCCCTGGCAACACGCAGCCAAGACACATTTAGCAATGCAAAGAGTAAGCAATACTCATAGCTACAAAGAGCTCAAAGGAAATAATTGGATGTCCAATCCCAAAAAATCACAACTGCTGTCTGAGACAGGATGTGGCTCTGGATGGGTCTCTGCTGTGGTCTATTACAGTGATTCTTATGGCTCCTGCCCTTGCTTAGAAGGAACTCATCACAGTAACGCCAGCAGGAGTTATCTGAGGCTGCGGTCCTGGATGCACTGCTGGTCAGGAATGGGACTGACAGGGAAGGTGCAGAGATTTGGGGGGATTTACGTTAATTTAAAGGATGCAGGGCTGGTGCTTTACTGGTTGGCTCTCCCCAGGCTGGCTAACTGGCAGCACAGGTTGCTGGATGACGCCCATGCTCCACGTCCTCACCATCACTGGCTTCACATGCTGTGGCAGGAGATTGCCATGTGGGCACAAGGGATGGAGGACAACCTGGCTGCAAGCACCCCAAGGGGCCTGGCTGCCCCAGGAATGCACCCAGAGCAGTGTCAGCTCCTGGCAGGTGCTTTGTGCTCAGCTCTGTGTGCTCAGGCAGGGGAGCACGTAGCAGCGCAGCTCCGGAGTGAAACACGTACCAGACGCATTATTGAGACAGGAATTTCTTGTCATTGCAAGAGCTTTACTTACCTTTTGTCATTTTAATGCATTGCACTCAGAGCCTGGTTTAAGAAAACCTCAATACGCTCCCCCCCTGGCTTTTCAGAGATAATTTAAGTCTCTTTCTGAAAGGCCTTTTTATGATTTTAGCAGCTTCCAGGGCAAGGATGAAATACCAGGAGAGCAGCACGTAACTTTTGCACTGCAGGGTGCTGCCAGTGAAACAAAACCCCGCAGGAACAAACATTTTGCACAGGGCACAAAGCATAATTATGCCATCACAAGTTCTCATCGCGGTGCCCACGTTCTGCATCCTGTGCCAGCCCTGATCCTTCTTGCCTGTCTTTACAGCCCCTCTGCCTCTCCGCGCAGTAGAGCAGGCAGGTTGAGTCATCCTTGGCATGCTCTGGGGGAAACCGTTGCCTCCAGCCCATTTCTTGGAAACTAATAAAAAAAAAATATCCCAGAAATGTTGCAACACAACGGGCTTCTTCTGCTTCTGGGTGTCTCTGGGGCTGTAACATCGCCACACTGCTCAGGCAGCTCCAGTGTGCAACCAGCAGCTGTTTGCTCTGGGACCATGCTAACCATTGCTGCGTCTCACTTCAGATTAGGTCCACTTCCCTCCCTAATTTTGCATTTGCTTAGGACCCATATTTGCTGAATAATGGCCTTTATATGATCTAACCTTTGGACAAATGTACCTTTAACCTTGCACTTCCTGATCATGTAAGATAGCTCTTTCTTCCCTGAACAGTCTTATTCCATTGACTGTTTTTCCCAATGTCTTCCTGAAAACCACTATTCAACCAGGCAGATCTCAATTCTTTCCATACAGGATTTAAACCTTTATGAGGGATGCAAGCTCCAGGTGTTTAGCATCTTTAATTTAAAATCATTCCTTTCTTCTCTCTTGTTCCCCTTCTGAAGCCTAACAGGTCATCTGGTTTCATTAACTTCATCAACTTCTTTCCTCTGTTTCTTAGAAGCTGCTCTTGCAAAAGGAAAAATCTTCCCCAAAGTTTCAAATCTAATTTTGTCTTTCCATTCCACTCATGAATCCACTCATGATCACTTGATCCAAGCTAATTTTCCATGGCTAGCTATTACATGTCCTCTCCTTCAGACACAAGTCTGAAATCCCATCCCTTCTGGGCAGTTCAGAGCTGACTTTATGAAGAACCTCCAGGGATACATGGGCTTTACCATCATTAACAACCTTTGATCTCCATTTGACATCAAGAAAGCTGAAGTTTCCCATAACAATACTATTTTTCTCCTTAGTAACACAGAGATCTCAAATCCTACCCAAATCTAAACCTGGAGATTTCTAATAGGATTCAAGGAAACCTTTTTATTTCTCAGTGTGAGTGGAGTGTTTGAAGGGTCACAGTGCTGCTAATGAAGGACCCTGAGGTCTCAGGGGAGGAGGAGGTTATAGAAGAATGCCAAGCACCTTTTCCCATGTATATGTTCTTGCACACACATGCATGGGTTTGTAATTTGAAACTCTCTTTACTTCTGGACAGGCTTTACAAACTGCTTAGACCACATTCTCTGAGGTGTTTAAAGAGGGTGGAGTATGCAGTATTTATTTAGGTACTCTACAAACCTTAATAAGAATCGAGTGCTTGTAGCGATCGCAGAGAGCAAACAGAGAGCCAGCTGGCAGAAACTGAACAGTGCCACTGCATTTTTATTGCTTCTAGCTCCCCCCAAACAGATTATTGCTGAAATAATTATGTCTTTTTTAATTTCATTTATCTCTGATCCTACATTAATTTCTCTGCTATGTGCAGCAGTATTATTAGCTGTAGTCTATTTTTCAACTGGCTATAAAAATTCAGCTTTTAAATTTCCTCCTGGTCCAACTCCTCTTCCGATCATTGGTAACCTGCACTTGGTGGACATTAGAAGGCAAGATAAATCACTAATGAAGGTAGGACAATAACCCCCAAACCCAGACCCTTATAGATTTTTAAAGCTGCCTGAGATGTTATCAGTGAAAAGTTTTTGTCTTTTTTAATTCAAACTAAACTGTAAAGGTGTGAGAACTGCTTTATAACATTTTTCTAGGCTTCTTCTAGCCAGTGTCTGTGTTGATGAAATGCCATTTATGAGCGATCACTCATTAAAAAAAGACCTTTGGGTAATACGGGATTTCTCCATGTAATTGTGAGGATGTACACGAAGTATATAATGCTTGTGGGATTTCAACTATTAATTTGACAGCTCGGGCGCTCGAAAATCTTTTAAAGCATTAGGACATAACTAACATGAAATGAAATCGCTTCCCTCTCCTCCGCCCTGGCAAGTGGAATTCTACAATGCAGTGACCCCAAAACTGCTCTGGGGAGGGCCAAATGCAGATGCCCCATGCAAAATCCACTTCCTTCTTGGTGACTTGGATACGCATTAAAATCTGGATGTCGGTACGAGAAGAGGGATGGAAAAGCTGTGCTGAGGAACCAGAATGAATAGCCTGTAAGCTCTTCTACTAACCTGTAATTAAGACAACTCACCCAGCTTATGGTGGTAAGCGGGTCTCCTGTGCAAGATGAGGCTGGCACAGCCCGGGGTGCTTGTGTCAGGCTCTTAAGGGCTCTCCCCTTGATTCAGCAGACAGCACCAGCAGGGATCGACCTGTACCGGGGTCAGGGAGAGAGTGAGCAAACAGACAGCGGCGGTTCCCGACGAGGCGTCGACACGGCTTCCGTAACGCCGGTGCTCAGCAAACACTGGTGCTTCTATAGGAGCAGCAGGGTGGTGGGAGAGCTCTGCTGCCGGGTGAGGCTCCCAGCACCTGGTGCTGTTGTGGGCAATGTCAGGGCTGGGGTCAGTTTACTCAGCGGGGCTCGGCAGACGTTGCTGCAGCCTCTGAACGGCGGTTTGGAATTACCTCCGCATGCTTTCATCACCTGCTAGGCTCTGTTTGGTATTGCCTATGTTTGCATTTACTTTGGGATTACTCCAAAGGGGTTATCCCTCCATCTCACCCCACAGAGAGCAAAAAACGGTGATGGCATAAAGCGGCAGGCACCAGGGTTTGTTGATGCTTGCATCCTGATGGGGTGCTCCCCTCATCCCTGAGGAAGCTGCCAGAGGAACCGGCACAGGCTGAGGCTGCACGTATACACCGTGTGTTTGCTTAGACAGCAGATTTGGACTGTGGCTTCCCATCACCTTGCTCCAGCCCAGCCCAGCCTCTTCTCAGCTGTCCCTGAATGCTGTTACCAAGCTGCCAGGAATCAGGCACACACATCAGTCCTTGTGAAGCATGGATTCCCCATCAGACTGTATTGCTCTGCTGCAGACCCCTTTCCTGGGCTAAAAGGAGTGGGGACCAGAGCATAGCACAGCAGTTCCAGGGGCACATGTAGGACATGCCAGTGGGACTGTGTGCTCCTGGGGTGGGGGGGGGGGAGGTGTCAGCTCCCTGAGGCATTGCATTGCCTTTGTAAACCAGCCAGCAAGGCACAGTGAAAGAATCTTTCTGTGATATGGCAAAAATACATGCAGAGCCTTCTCAGTGCAAAACGAGCATCACTTTGTGTACAGGCACAGGGAAAGCCAGCAGTTCGGGCAGCCTCCTGCTTCTTTTCATCACCTGCTAGGTGCTCCTGCTGCGGGTTTCCCTGTTACGCTCAGCTGAGCTGTAGGTACCAAAGCCATGTCCGAGCAGAGGGGCATGGATCTGGAATCTGCGGTCAGCCAGGGCAAACTGAACACCCAGCATGCAGCAAACGGTTCCTCTGGTCTAATAGCAGGGATGCAGAAATGCTTTAGTACAAAAGGAGCATTATACCAAAGCTTTTCTGGGCGACAGCATCATTATTTGCGCCGAAATGTCTTCTCTGGTTTGCCAATTTGTGTTGCCATTTGGGGTCCAGTTTTAACTCTAGGTGTTTTGTTTGGGTTGGTTTTTTTTGGTTTTCATTAGTTTCTCTTTAAGAGCAAACCCAGATTAATAATGCACTGATGGGGGTGGGGGTTCTTTGATGGCAAGAATCCTAAAATCTACATGGATGCTGGCCAGGTATCCATACAAAATGCATTGGGTTTGACTGTGATAAGCTTTAGCTCACAGGCACCACTCTGCAGGTGGCGGCTCCACCGCCATTCCCAGCTGGATGCCAGGATGTAATGTCAGAAAAGCAGCAACTGATGTAATATCAGAATGCAGATGCAATTCTGATGTAATATCAGAAAGGAACAGGTGCTTGCCCCATGCACGCTCCTTCCCTTCCTGACCATCACAGCTCACCTCTTTTTCAGCTTGCAGAAAAATACGGCCCCATCTACACCCTCCACTTTGGGTTCCAGAAAGTTGTGGTCCTGACCGGGTACGAAGTTGTGCGGGAGGCGCTTGTGAACTACACAGAGGAGTTTGTAGACAGACCATCCATCCCAATATTTGACCAAATTCAGAACGGAAACGGTACTAGAGCAATGAGTGAGGGTGGGCGGGAGGTGTTGCTTAGTGCCAGCATAACTGTGCATCCCAGGAGCCCGGCTTTCTAACATCCCCCCTGGGCCCTTCTGAAGCCAAGCAGAATGAAAACATTTGGCTTTCCTCACTTCCATGCACTGCTTCCTTGCTTTTCAGCATTTTTGCTAATCCATGTCCTAACCATTTGAGGGGGAGGAGTGGGATTTTTAAAGGCACTGGTAATTTTGGGGCTAATTTCCATCGGATGTCAATGAGAGCGGAATTTACAAACCTTCCCCATGGTTTCAGGGGACTTCAGACTAACTGGTTTGGCTGTTTGGAGCTGTAGCGCTTCTCCCTTTCTCCCACTGCCAGATGCCACAATCTGGGACATCATCAGTCCCCGGCATCTTGCCTCTCCACAAAGGCTCTTGTGGATCAACATGAAGCAAACTCAGGCAGAAGCAACTGGCTGAGGCTGGAAATTCACCCCCACAAACAATCCCATAGTTTTTCCAAGGCAACTCCCCATCCCTGAGTATTGCAGAGGACTTTCTGCCTTGATTTTCCATCCTCTGCTTCAGCTGTGGCTCTAACTTTGAGCATCTACCTGGCAGCTTTATAAGCTGGTTACAGGCTAAAGTTGGGATTACAGCTAGAAATTAAATTACCCAGCCATAATGTCAACAGATTAATTTATCGCTACATAAAGAAAAGGAATCGCTGGGGAGAAAAGCATTTTTCAGAGCTGATTTACATGTAAAATATCCTTGGGGCCCACTGGCAGTATTGCACTATAAGTCCTTTCACACTTACCTTCTCAGCCCAGGACCAACCCGCTTAGAGGTGGAAACTCACAGAGGTGAAGTAACAGTGGTCATAAACTTTCCCAGGGAACATCTCACCATGTCCATTTGTTGACTCTGAAGCTGCAGAAAAGGAATGATCCAGATGAAATTGCATCAATTAAAGAAGAATTTAAAATCAAATTTGCTTTGGCATTTTTAGAGCAAGAAGTTTTGCTTTCCAAATGGAAACTACACTGCTTGAAAACGGTGTTTATTCTGCAGAAAGCAAACACATTTAAAAACCTTGCAGCCAACATGAAGATGTGAAGTGCTGGAATCCAGCTTCTTGATTGGCACAATCTGAGATAGTGTTTGGATTATATTAACCTAAGTTTTTCTTATACTATTTCCAACACCCTGATGGGATGAAATACCCATCCCTGCTTTGTGGCGTTAGAGATCACCAAGGCATGAATTCAGAAACCTCCACAAAATGATAGTAATAGTGTCATTGCTGAAAACACAATGCTACTGGGAATCTCAATAGAAGAGCTCAGCACTGAGGGTTGTGGAGATTGAATTATCCCATTCCACGTTGATAAAATAGCTTTATAACTGGAATAGGACAAAGGGTAAGCTTCAAAGATATAAGGTTGTTGCTTGAGGCATGAGACTTGCAGCCAAACGAGGTCAGAAATGTTGCAGGACTGACTGAGACCTACATCTCTCCCCAGCTCTACAGCCAAACCGTACTGGTTTGAAAGCCATACCTGCTTATCTTGCACACAAGGAGAGGGCTGTGGCAAACTGGTTTGGGTGGGAGCCTGTTTTTCCCAAACTACAGGCTCAGTGAGACTGAGAGAATGGAGGTGAGAGCATACAGGGATGGGGCACACAGAAATGGGAGACCCTTAGTCCCTAAATCCACAGGAAACTGGGCAGCAGAAATACTTGTGGAGATCCCTCCTCATCCCGTCCCCTGCTTTGTTTGGTGGGGCTCCTCTGTGTGTGAGCCGAGTGCAATGTCTCATGGCCCCCCCAGGTTTGTTCTTCTCTATTGGGGAGCTGTGGAGAACAACTCGGAGATTCACGGTATCCAGCATGCGCAACCTCGGCATGGGGAAGAAAACGATAGAAGGGAGAATTTTTGAGGAGCTTCACTTCCTGATTGAGATGATCAAATCCTTCCAAGGTGAGCTGCAGACCATCCCAGTACAGCCTCATACATGTCACTGCTGCTGCAACATCTCACTAATATCTGCATTCTCCTCCCATTGTAGGGGAACCTTTTAGCTTGACGTCCTTCAACTGTGCTCCAATCAACGTCACCTTTGTCATGCTGTTCGGTGAGAGGTTTGAATATAAGGACCCAACATTTATCACTCTCCTAAGACTCATAGATGAAGTTATGATTCTTCTGGGATCTCCATATTTGAACGTAAGCAACCTGTCCCACGGAATAACACTCTTTTACGCAGACACATTACATTTGTGTGCAACACAAACCATAGCGTTTGGTTCAGCAGTTCTCAAGTGTTCAGCACCATTACACCCAAAATGTGACAGTCCTCCAGATACCACCCTGGTCACCACAAACGTGTTGCCAGATTACCCTTTGCTGCTCTGCTTTTGAACCATCCTGCACATCTGTGCAGAGCTAAAATAAGAACTGAAGTATGATTATTTTAGCTGTTTTTGCCTTTTCAACATAATTGCATCACCTAGGCTTATCCTGTGCTGTGTTTTCTATGTGTCTTTTCTATAAAGACACATTCAGTGTTGATGTCTACGCGAGTGACATTTCACAGACTGCATGAATATGCTTCCTTGGAGAGTGCCAGGAAAACTTTGCTTATCTTCAAACTATCATACCCAGTCCTTCATAACCAACGCTGGAAAAAACTAACTAATCTCATAGTGATTGAAACTGCTGGTGGCCACGCACACTGAAGTCCCAGCTCTGTTGAGAGGCTGACCTGGTACAGCTTAACCTGGTACCAGCAACAGCATAAATGCTTAAAATTAAGTAGTACTAAATAAAGGCTCAAAGCTCAATAAGGAAAGCCTTCCCCTATGAAAATCTGCCTGGGAAGTCCCTGGGATGCTAAGATACTGCTACATGACAAAACTCAACTGATACGTCATGCCTTAGGAAGAAGCTGTTTCAGCATGCATGTTTCATCATATTCAGAAATATCAGAAATATTCTGATATTTCTACAGACTTACTGCTTCTCTTTCTTAATTCCTCATTAGTATTTCAATTTCTACCCATTCCTGGGATTTCTTTTCAAAACCCACAAGATCATGCTTGGGAAAATAGAAGACGTGCGTGCCATTTTAAGGCAATACATGAAGGCGAGCAGGGAGGATATCAATGAGAACAGTGTGAGGAGCTACATTGATGCGCTGATATTCAAGCAACAAGAGGTATTTGCTTAACTCTGTTGACTGTAATGTCTCCTTTGGATTTTCTGGTTAAAACAGTTGCTGAGTCTTGATTTCAGCCATGTCATGTAAACTTCTTGAAATCCATGCAGTTATTCTAGTGGCACTGAAATCAAGCTCAGTCTCTTACAGTTGGTGGAATTTACTGTAGGGATTTTTCTATCAAAATTACCATATGAAAGCCACTGTCTCAGTCCACTCTTGAAATAGCAGCACAAATAATATGAGATCAACTCCTTTTTCCTAGTAGAAAATGCATGAAGTCACATGAAAGCTGACTCTGCCTTTCTTTTTAAGGCAACAAATCAATTAATCATTGATACTGTTGCTCCAAGACAAACTACAGACTAAGTATGAACGATAAATCATCAGTACAAGTCCTAGTCCTGCCCTGTATCTAACCTTAGTAGAGACTTGGCAGTTTCACACATCAGTTGATTTCTTTCAACCTCAAAAAATTGGGCTCTGAGTTTTACCTTCTTTCAAAATGGCTCTAGGCCAACCTTAGGCACTAAGTGTTCCACCCAGCTATGTGGAGGAAGGGTCAGTATAGTCCTAAATGGCCTGAAGGTCATTTTAAACATTGTTAGGGGTTTGAACCTGCCTTTGGGCAGGAGGAGTCCTTAAGAGTTAGGACTAGCTGAATTTCCTTCTGCAAAGGGGATAGACGGACAGGGCTTTTTCCAAACCCGCGAGGCTGAGTACATGAACAGCATCTGGTCCTGGGCTTCAGCCTGCTTCTGGGTGGAGATGGATGCTGAACCAAAACTCCACTGCAAACTTTCCATCTTTGGTGAATGATTCGCATTCAAGATCAGGTCCATTTTATCACCTAGTTCACAAACACAAGATCATAGTTAACACTGTCATAGGCTATGCAGAATTTCCCAAGCTAAGACTGATGATGGCTTTAAGACCATTCTTACCACTTGTGTTTTTCAAGGAGAAAAACAAGAAAGACAGCCTCTTCCATGATGACAACTTAATGGCATCCATACTCGACCTGGTCATGGCAGGAACAGAGACCATAGCCACAACGCTCCAGTGGGCCATCCTGCTGATGATGAAATACCCAGAGATTCAAAGTGAGCTCCTTTTACCTCCACTTTATCTGCGGCATGGCTGATATGAGGAGGGGAGAGGTCTCAGATCCACAAAAGCTCTTTCGCCTTAAGAGCTGAATCTCATCTCTTAATTGTTATGAATTCCTGATGTAATTAGATGTTGATCAAAGTCACAACAAAATAGTCCGTTTGCCTTGCTAGGAAAGAGGATGGATGGAGAGTAAAGTATGATGCTGGGGAACCAGCCCATCCACATGCCTGAACTAGAAATAGAGGGGGCAAACCCAAGCTGATGTTTTAAGGAACCCTCTCCCTCCAGACCCTGGAAAAATATGTTTTTCCCCAAACCAGATCCAAGGAGGGAGTTCATTTCCTTGCAGGCACATACATTTTGCTTGATCCTTCCAGAAAAGGTGCAGGAGGAAATTGGGAGAACTGTCAAAGCTGGAAGCTGGGCCACGTATGAGGATCGGAAGAACATGCCGTTTACAAATGCAGTGCTACATGAAGTGCAGAGGTTTATCACACTCCTGCCCCACGTTCCTCGCTGTACTGCTGTTGACACCCACTTTAGGGGCTACTTCCTTCCCAAGGTAGGTAACTGCTCCATCCCAGGAACACATCACCCTCCTCATTTTTGCCACTGCCACTACAGACCAATATCTTTAGAGGGAATAACAGGACAGAAGCCCAAAACAGGTGTCCAGAATCATCCCTAGAAGAGTTTCTATATTGAGTCTATGACACTGGTACTGTAGGGCTATTGCTTCATAGCTGAGTCCGTTCAACTACATGGAATCCAGAGAGACTGGTGTTGTAGGACTCGATTCTGTCACTCTCACTTCCTCACTCTACAAGTGACCCTGGTTTACCTCCTTGATGCCATCTGCACAGTGAATTACTTGTAAGGGAAGTAATTTACAGGATCTGACCCTTTCCTTGAGGTTTTCACAGCACCACGTGGCATTTGGCTTCAGTCCTTGACACTGCTGGGAAAACCTCAGTGAATTCTCTCTTTACTGACTGATGGGATAAACCACTCAAGAGCTCTCCACCTACCCCTGGTGGAGCAAATGTCCTGGAACACTGAAGTCTCTGCTGCAAAATGAACCAAACCAAAGCATTTCTGCTAACTTTGGTGCTCTCATGTACTTCTCTTCCAGGGTATAATCGTAATCCCATCACTCACCTCAGTGCTGCTGGATAAGACACAATGGGAGACACCACATCAGTTCAACCCTAACCACTTCCTTGACGCTGAAGGGAATTTTGTAAAGAAAGGAGCTTTCCTGCCCTTCTCCACAGGTAACTAACAGGCTGATCTGCACAGAGCTGAGGCTATAGCAGGATCATTTTATTACTATGTACACTAACGGGGTCTTCATGGCTAAGAACTGCCTTTAACTTGGTCAGTAAGCAACCAGGCAACTGAACAGAGTCAACTATTCTGCATTCAGGCAAACGGCTGCTCTCAGAGCACACCTCTCTCACCACTAAAGGCATTGGTTCCCAAGGGCTCAACTAGAAAGAAGAAAGAGATAAACTGCGTCCAACAGAAGGTCGAAAACTGCCTCAAAGCTGTCAGCAATAGGTGGATAATCAGACAGGACTGGTGGGGCTGCCAGCACAGCTATGCACAGGGTTCCATGAGCTCTCCTAGGAGGGAGGGTACAATCCAGGGACCCTTAAATCCTGTCTCAAGTCAAGTCCCATGTGTGAGTGGGTCTGATGGACAAGGTCTCATCCACTGCCCACCATAGCCAAGCAAGGGAGTCCCAATAAGCCTTGCACCTGGGCTTGGTATTACAGCCAGCAGAGATCCTGTACAGGACAGAATACACCAACCCTTATTACTCTTGCTATGAAATCTTAAATCTAAGGCCCTGGATTGTTCCCAGAAGTCACCTTGGACTGTGATTCTTCCAGTGGCACTTTTGAGAGCTCCCAAAGATTCCCAGCAAGACCTGCTCTTTTAGAGGAAGAAGCGCAGCCCTGTGGTTAGGGGAGGTGACCCTGACACTACCTCCACTGGCATTTTGGTCAAGTCACAAACTTTTTCTTTTATTGTTCTTTTTAATCTCAATTTCGCCTTCAAAATACAATTAACATTCTCTTTCTGGAGGCTCATAAACCCTGGGACTTAAACTGAGCTAATCATAGGAACAGTTGTTAGGTATCAGAAATCCTCCCTTGAGACATCCTGGAAGAAGAAAAGTCTCTTTCTCCATGCCTTCCTAACAGCCATAAGCACTTTCAAAGGCTGCTCATTTCCAGACATTCCTGCCCCCAGCCAGTGCCCTCCATAGCTGCAGCAGTGTGCGTTATGAAAGGGCACAGCTGGATGGAAGAGTCTTGCTGGGAGTTAACAAACCCCAACACTGCAGGAGGCCCTAAGTGCTATAAAGGGAGATTTCCTGCAGAATCCTACAAATCCTCCCATGCAACTTCAAACCTTCCAGCTGTTCCTCTGAAAGGATGGCTTGAAGGAATTCCAGAATGTGCTCCAACCCCAGAGCCTCAGTACTGACTTTGGACATTAAAAAGCCAGTCCTTGCTTGTCCAGCAAGAGCTGCAACAGTACAGGGACCACCACACAGGGGCTGGGAACCTGGCACAGAGAGAGGGTAGGAAAGAAGAAACACAGTCTTTTCTGTAAGTGGGATGTTAGGATAAATTCCACAGGAAAAGTGAGTTTCAAGCCATTCCACTTTGGGAGGAGGTGGCATTTTTCTGTCAGGCTGCTTTTCAAAGAGAATGGATTAAAGATACTGAGGGAGTTGGAAGAGCTAAGAAGAGGAGAAGGTACAACATAAATGAATAATAACCCTATAATATTGCTGCGACTTGCTGCTGCAGGTGGCTGTGTGACAAAAGAGACCAGGCAGGCACACTGTGCCAGGGTGACTGGGACAGCTAGCTTCAGCAGCTTGGGTTCCTCTACTCCAAAATATTTCTGGTGCATTTAAAGGTGTCACTGCCTCTCCCATCACAACATTTCAGATGCTAACATGTGCATGGCACACACTGTAGTCTGCTCTTTCCATCAAGTAAACATGCCGCTTTCATCTGCAGGGCGAAGGAACTGCATTGGAGAAAGCCTGGCCAAGATGGAGCTGTTCGTCTTCTTTGTAGGGTTGCTTCAGACATTTACTTTTCAACCCCAGCCAGGAGTTTCAGAGTCTGACTTGGACCTTACCGTCCCCCAGACGACTTTCACATTAAGGCCTCAGCCTCAGGCAACCTGTGCTATCCTGCGTGAATAACCACAGCCTTGCTGAAGAGCAACCCAACGAGTGGGGAAGCTGCTTACACCCAACTTAGCTATGCTAGGACTTGCCATCCCCCATGCTGCCACACCACCCTCTTTCACATCCCCTTCCCGCTGTCTCCATCCACTTCCACTCCACTGTTCTCCACCGTAGGTTGCTGACCCCCTCTTTGCTCCCATACTGTGAAGAGGTGCCTATGATTGATTAGAAACCATGATGGTGGTTGACAAACACACATTTCTTCTCAAGAGAGATTGTGCATGGAGCCAAAGAAGGGACCAAGGAAGTGGTCTGGTGAAGGGGATGCAGCCCATGAGTAGTATGTGTGACACCCAGGCTCCCATGGGGAAGCAGTGAGGATCATAGTGGCACAAAGATCTGCCCAAAATCCTGAGGAAAGACAAACCATCCTTTGCTGAAAGCCACAGAAATACACTGTGTGTCACACACGTGAACCATCCATGGCTACATCCTGAACTTTCCCAGTTCCCTAGTTATCCATAGCTTCTAGCAAAACCCTGCCAGACTTGGCCACAAAGTCAAACACTGGGAGTGAAAAAAACAGGTTGATTCACATGAATTGAGGACAAAGTTATTTCTGCCTTGGAACAATGTCCTGAAAGACGCCCCAGAGTCTGCAAACCTGCTGAGGTAAGCAAGTACTGCTACCATCAAGTTCAACACTGCTTCAGAGTCTGAATGAAACAAGATCTACATTTCCAAACCTGAAGTCTAAACCATAAGGCCACATGAGATTTGCACCAGCAACTGATCATAAAAGGCTAATGATACAGACAAATAAACTAGACCCATTTCTAGTTGCATGTATCCCTGTCTTTCTTAACCTTGTTAAATAGGCACAAACACTGTTCCTCACTTCAGACCTCCTGGTTACTGTTAAAAGCCAAAACCATCTTTCAATTTGGTCTTTGAGATGGTCTGGCCATTAGAACCAGCCACGCAAATGGTGCCCAATGTTTTGTATTGCACGCACTCATCAAGGAGAATTGGGATCAGGGATTAGGTGAGATGCAATTTTGGTTGTTTTCCTTTCCTCTCTAGCTTTGTGTGGCGGTTGTCCCTGTCTGTAGCACTCTTATCTGCCACCATATTCTGCAATCTTATTCCAGCTGATGCATAGCTCGGACAATTTTTCATCCATTTATCTGCCTGTGACTTGCCGCTTCTCCATATGCATTTTCTTATCACATGCTTCATCACGTTGTTTGTTTCCCCCTTCCTGGGAACACAGTAAAATCTGAATCCCATGTCTTCATTATATTTCATATGCCTCCCTCCCAGCTTTGCATTACACAGAAATACAAATGCCATGAAAGGCTGATCCTGAGCGCAGAGTGACAACAAATGTTATGATTTTGCTTGTATCTCCTGGGTGAAAGGTGATGCATACCCTCATCCTCAGAAAAAACAGCTCAACAGGAGACCCTCCTGCACAGTGGTTTCTCCAGGGCAGAGCTTTCCCTTTGCACTTGGCTATGGGCTACCAGTCAGTCCTGGGGCTAGCCTTGGTTTTTCACTTTTATGCCTTCAATTCTTGCTTGCAGAGGCTGAATGAAAGGTTGTCACCACAGCTTCACTGAGGCTGGTGCTGTCCCTCTGCTTAGTGCCTTGGACCCTGAGCCTCCCACCTCTTGCGCTCCTGAAATATTACCTGCTGGCAAGGTCACTCTTGAGGAGTGGTGGTAGCAGGATGAGGTCTTCTTCAGGGAAGGCAGGGTGAGGCAGGTAAGGCAACTGGGGAGCAAGGCACATATCAACAGAGTGAAGGAAGTCTTGGTTTTGCTGAAATAAGAGAGACTTTTGCCTTTTGCTTCAGAAAGGCCAGGACTGCTCCTGCTCTAGCCCCCTCCAAAAGTGATATGAACTCAAAACACAGCTATGGCAATGATCTAGAGCTCTGCAGGACAACACTAGAGTGGGCTCCAATCTGCATGAATTCACCAGTGGAACCTCAGACCTGACACCCTGCCATGGGCTTACAGGTTCTTGGCTTTGAAGGAAAGAGATGGATCCCTTTGTATATGGCATAGCAGCCTTCTGAGCCTGCTGGGTTTGGACATCACCTTCTGCACTGGCACTCTGCAGCAGCACTGCCTGCATGCACAGATGCAGCTGACTGCGCAATACCCGTGCCCCAGAGCCACGAGCTACCAGGTGCAAACATCCAAGGAAAACAGGTTTGATTCCTTTGAAAAGTGCATCCTACTTGTGCCTGTGTTTGGAAGTGCTTCCTCCCCAGCATACTGAGTTAGACAGCTGAATACATCTCCATAAAAGAAAGGGTCTGCCTCCCATTTCTTTGTTCAACCAAATGATGGCAGAACACTGACTATAACTCGGCTACATATTTATCTAGCAGAAAACATCAGCTCTCAAAGGTGGAAATACCATTTCCACATTCCTCAGTGGCCCTGAGGGTCTTCCCTTTAGCTGCAAAACATGTTTGTGCCTTGCAACACATTGACTCGAACTGAAGGCAAACACCTTGGAGCAGGACAGGTGGCTTGGTTCTTAAAGTAAGATCTGTACAAACCCGACTGACACCATGTCTGTGGCTCCTGCCACATGCAGCCCAGCCTGTCATCCCAAGCTCTGTGTGATGCTGGGAACCAGAGCTCCTGTTCTCAGAGGGGCGATGGTCAGATGCAAGGATTGCAGGAACTGTATAGATCTGTAAAACAAGGGCTGCTTTGTATCTGCAGCCCCACTGAGCCAGAGAAATAAGCACTGTGCAGAATATCATTTCTATTTTATTTTTGCCACGAGATGGCAACATGATCCCTCTGAGTCACAGACAGCCCAGCCCTGCAGTTCTTACTGGGGTAAAACACCCTGCCAGCCCCAGATTCAGGCTGGGTAGGGAGGGCAGATCCAAGCCTTGAGGCTTTATGGAACCCAGTCCAACTGCATTCACCTGTGAGCAAGTCTGGGAGCAAAGGCATTTATTTACTATTAACCTGGAAGAATCAAGTGGTACACAGGGCACAGGAGAAGTGGTCTTCTCATCCTACAGCAGACACTGATCCCTCTGAGGGACTAACCATCTCAAACACAACGGGGACAATGGCTTAACCCACCTCCCATTGCAAGCCTATCAGATCCTTCTGGCCTCCACTCAGCATTTCAGACCAAGGAAGAAGCCAGCTGCCTCAAGAGTCCCGTTGTCTTCCCTGATGAGCGGATGTGATGAGGCTCCATCTGCAGTCATTTCAGAGGAGAAGAAGATAGGGAATGTCAGGAAAAGGGAGGGTCCTGAGAAGTCCCACAGAAAGCTGGGAGATGTAAGGAAAGGGGAGATGGGCAGATTTTCTGTTGCTTTGCCTGGATCTGCCCAGCTTCTGTGCTGCTTGAGGAAGAGCATCTTAGACATTTAGAAACACATCTCTACAGTGTTTGCATGCTTTCTTGTTCACACATCGTGCTCTGAAAAGAGGTTGTGTCTGTGTATCTGAAAAGAGGTTGTGTCTGTGTATCTGAGCTACCTTTGCAAAAATGCTGGGGAGTGTCTTCACTGTCTGGGGAGAGCTGTTAAGCCCTATATCAGCGCAGGCATAGCAGAGCCTGTACCCAGAAAGAGCCAAAGACTCCCAATGAACCTTGCTGAGGTCCCTCAGAGCAAGGGGAACCTAAGAAATCCAGGTTCTGACATCTGGGATTCAAAATCAGAAATTTGTAAAGTGTTAGAAGAACATCCATCACACATAGAAGTGTAGGTATCTGGGATTAATTTATCCCATGTGCAGCAGAGAATGGGAAAAGAGCAGGGATTAGATGATGACACAACCTTTTATCTGCTACTGCTCTCCAAGTGAAGTAACTACCCACTCTTGAGAAACATCCTCTCCTAGAGGCTCAGAACAAGGGTAACTTTCTTACACTCTACTTTTGATGTGTAAAGTACTGACTGTCCTGCTATTTCCAGTCATGTCTGGCTGGCATTTTCCAGGTCACCTTACCCACTAACCATCCTGGTAGGTAAGGCGACCTGGGTCCTGACCAAGTATTTGTTCAATGGCATGTAGCCATTACTTGCAAGGCTTTGGGTAAGAAGACTCTACTTGTAGCTACTGCACAGGGATCTGATTTCTCTTTAGTGCATCTGCTAGGCTCTGCAGAAAACTATTACATGGATCTTTCTCAGTTCAGAGCCTTGGCTTTATTGGCATAGCACAGCACAGACACACTGTGGCTGGGGTCTCACGGTGAACCCAGCCTCTGCAGTTGTGTCCAGCTCAGATTCTTTGACCCCAGGTAGAGGCTTAAAACTCAACTTCTGTATCAAGCCTGTGAAGAAGATGAAGAGCTCCATCGTGGCAAGACTTTCTCCAATGCAGTTTCTCTGCCCTGCAGTGTCAAAGCATGGCTGTTGGTGGAGTGATTGGGTAAGTGGTGGCTCAACCCAACATCTCTTCCCTGCTACTTGATAGTGTGAAGGACAGCACAGGCCTCAGAAATGCAAAAGAGCATGGCATGATATTCAGCAGCCATCATTGTTGGTCTCCTACAGGCATTTGAAAAGGGTTGTTTCACTCTGTGCCCAGAAGGAATTGATCTGGGACACCCTAGAAACCAGCCTTCCCAAGGCAGGGGGAAGGTTGAACTCATTTGTAGGTGCTGAACTTTTTGTAGGCCCCAGCATGCCTTCCAGCATGGGCTGAAGGGCTGTTTGCAAGTCATCAAAACCTAGGGCAGGTATTTCTAAACCATCCCCACCACCAATACCAATGCTGTTCCCAATAGAGGCTCAGATCCTGCCACTAGGCTAGTCTCTTCTGAGGGGCACTGGGAATGTGGGGCCCTGTGCAGGATCAAACACTTTCATTACCTGTGGAGAAAGGCAGGAATGCTTTCTTCTTTATGAAGTTCCCATCCACATCAAGAAAGTGGTTGGGGTTGAATTCATCAAGGCATTTCCCACTGCGTTTTATCCAGCAGCACAGAGGTGAGCAGAGGAACCACTGTTGTTCCCTGCAGCACAGCCATGCTTTGCTTTAGCATGTGGGGTTGCAGCAAGAGTCTGCCTTGCCCATTCAGCCATGTAATCATTCCTCCCTTTGGGCTGTGTCTGAAAGCAAACTTCTACCTCTGAAGAACTAATTTCTGGGCTTGTACATGACCCTTAG